GATCTGGCATTTTTATACAATGGAAAGCTACTCAGCTATAAAGGCTAACCTTGAGGCTCCTATAGGTAAATGCTTTTGGGTGAAATGGTTTGGACTCACGTAAGTGAACATCATGTTATCTACCTAGTATAAAAACTAACAATTATGTACAATAGATTTTGTGAAAAGTGAAAGGGGAAGAAACATCTAAAAAGGAAAGGTGGTAGCCATTGTTAATTCCCTAGTACCTTGTTTTCAAGTCCTGTATAGCTTTCACTGTTTTGTTTTGATTGGCTTTATTCTGTTTTATTTTGTTTGGTTTTATTCTCTTAAAAATAAAAAATTAAAAGATTTAAAAAAACATTTTAAAAACTATGTGTACTATAGTTAATGAGGAAAAACACCAAGGTTAGACACCTGTTGATGTGTAACTGAGCTACAGGTCTACTTGTTTATATAGTCTGTCTGTGACACTTGTGTCCTTGGGACTAGCTTTGTTTTAGTCTGAAGGAATTTGTCCACCTCAGGCTCGGTGGGGGCTTAACCACTCCACAGAACACAAAGAGTACTAGATAGTACTAGGAACTATCTTCTGGATATGCTATTTAAACATCAGAAGAGTTTGGGAAGATCATTAACACCACTTAAAAAGAGTGAGAAACGGGGAAAAAAGCACTGTGTGTTCAAAAAGGTTTAAAAATAGTCATTTAACCCATCCTACACCACGTGAGATGGTAAGAGATTCAAGATTGTGTTACTAAGGCACTACTTCAACCCAGAGTGAAAATTCACTATAAATGATACAATAAAACCTACCTGCTTTGTGCTTTCCTGCATTTTGATTCCAATCTGCATCTTTATTATCAACTCTTTTGAACCAAAATGTTTCATTTCCTTTATTAAGAGCTATACATCATTTATTAGGATTAATTCAGTCCAGATTTCACTTAGAAGAGTACAAAAGAGATATTATTAGCTCTAACTGATCTTTAACCTAAACTCCTGTTCGTCAGCAGCTGATTCAAACACTACTAGGGCCAACCAGAATGAAAGGATCTTCAGTCCAATTTTGTTAAAAGATTTAGCAGTTTGGCTATGGTTATATAATTATATGCAAGTTAAACTCAGTCAAAGTGTGGTACCTAATCCTTTATTTTTATGACCCAAGGAGTTCCTTTCATTATTTGATGCCTTATTAAGACATAGCAATTAACAGTGATATTATACATTTATGAATCTACAGTAATACTTAGGTTAAAAATGCTTTTTGTAGACAATTTGGTGCACTAACATTAGTGTTAGGCAAAATTTTGCTTCCATTCATGAATTCTGCCCTGTGTGTTGAACATGACTGTGCCCATCTTCCAAGAATGGTAGAATGAATTAAGTTCATGAACCAAGGCATCACTATATTTCAGATATCTAATGCATCAGGGCCTCACTCTTTCTCTCTCTTTCTCTCTTTCTCTCTTTCTCTCTTTCTCTCTCTCTCTCTCTCTCTCTCTCTCTCTCTCTCTCTCTCTCTCTCTCTCTCTCTCTCTCTTTCTTTCTTTCTTTCTTTCTTTCTGTTCCAGAAATTGAACTCAGGAACTCACACTCACTTGGCAGGTGCTCTGTCACTGAGCTATATCCCCAGCCCCATCAGGAACTTTATAAAGTCACATCTTACTTGATTTTCACAGAAGGCATCAGTTATTGGTATAAGACAAGAAAGGAAACTGAAGCTCACGGGAGTTATGTAATTTTGCTCATGGTCATTTAAATTCTTTGGCTTTTAAAAAGCAATGCAGAATTTTATAACATAATTAGCTCCCAATTAAATAAAAAATGATTCTCCTCTAACAAAAGTTTGGAATTCAGAGAAAAGGATGGATGAATGATTTTTACAGCTTTATGTATATATACACTATGCATAAGCATGTATACCACTTATATTAATGTTATACACATTATATTATTTCTATGATTAAAAAGAATTTATGGGTAGTTGACATTTTAAAATCATTATCTGACAATTAACAAGACAGAGGATCCAGGTCAGAAGTCAGTCCATAGCCCAAATTCTTATATTGTTTTTTCATACTTTTTAAATGTTAAAATTGAAATTTTATGCAAAATTCTTTTTTTTTTTTTGTAGAATTCTAATTTGTGACATCACTTGAAAATCAGAAGAGCAGTTACCTGGGCTTGAGTTCCTATGAGGCATTCGTCAGTTGGAGTTGCACTGCGACATCTTTGACATGGAACCTGTCCTTCTGAAAAGCAGGCTGCATTTATCAGCTTCATTCATTTATGTTATCTAACTGTGCCCTGGATGCTTTTGGGTTTGTGACCTTGAACTGATGTTCAAAGTACCAGCTTTGCCAAGTTCTAAGCCTGTTTTCCACGTCCACGACCTGTCTTCCCTCCTGTGGCAACTCATGAACACTGTAATCAGCCAATTTGGCCAAAGCTGATTCCACATGGGAACCAGGAAGACTTTTAAGCCTAAACTTTCTCCTACTTTGTGGAACTGAGACTTCCTAAAGTTATTTCACTGTTGCAGGTAGCTAGAACTGCTAATTTGTAAAGCAGATACAGTTCCTGTAGTAAAAGACAGAGAACAGGGATGAGGTAGGACCTGGGACACACAAGATTTTATTGCATCATTGTAACACACTCCCTATTTGCATAAATTTTCTTAAAATGGTGCCATCTTTTTTTTTTTTTTTTTTTTTTTTGTACCAGGAATTGATCTCAGGATCTTACACTTGCCAGGCAGGGCGCCATCTCTTCTAAACATTTGTCCTGGGGCTGGAGATTTAGCTCAGCGGCGTAAGTGCCTGCCTTACAACAGGCAGTTGTGAGTTCAATCCCTGGTACCGATAAAAAGGAAAAAGACAAAAAAAAAAAAAAAAAACCCACAAACATTTGTCCTATCCTTGAAAATTGTTAACTTCCTCTCTCTATGCTTCAGTTTCCAAATCTTTAAAGTTAAAAAAATAAAACCTGATTGTATCTCGTCCATCCTTCCATACAGGATTAGATCAGGGCACAAATAAACCTCTATATATTGTGTGAAAATTGTAAAACTCTGAAAATCTAAGGTATTATTTTCAGAACAGCTCTGGCAAATGTTTAGTAAGTGGTGACACAAAAGATGAGGAAAAGTAGGAAAATGTGTGTGACTAGGACACAGCAATGTGCCTAAGGCCCTTGAAGCTTAATGACAGAAAATAAGTGCTTTCTGGAAGATTCCAGGGTGGCCTTCACATAACTGTGATATTGAACTTCCAAATAATATAGGGGAAATAACTGTTAACTCCCAACCCACTAGACGTCAGATACACCAAGTTCATGTACTCCAAAATTGAAAAATGAATTCTAAGGATAACAAAGGCTAAGAATAGGAAGTTTTATTGTGGCAGCTCACAAGAGAGACGGGAGACCCAGAAAGTGGGTTCCCCATGAGCCCACTTCTCAAAGGAAATTTTATACAGCAAAATTAGGAAGTGAATATGAAATCCCCAGGTGGATACCACATGGGTGAAAACTACCATCAACCAGTAAGATTAAAGTACGGTTGCTTAGGCAATATTATCCAGTGGGGAAGCAAGTCATGTAGCAATGTACAAGGAAAGAAAAGGAACTTTTTTTGGAAAAGATGAGTCAGGAGGTCCTGGTCATCCACTTTTGTGACTGATGCTATTCTAGACTTTATTAAACCAGGTAATATCCATTATTGTATACTGTTTACCCCTCAGGGAGGTATGCAGGTTTAGTCATTCCATCTTTATCTTGAGGCCTGCTCTTGAACAAAAGTGCCTCCAGTCACAGTTGTGATGTGTTCTCACCTACACTGACTGCTTTGCCTAGAATATTTTCACCTAATTTAGGGGTCTATAATAACTGGAGGTTCCTTCTCTTCAAGACTGTGCATACAGTGCTCCTTTCTAAACATGTCCAAGGGGGAGTTATCTCACCTCATCAGGACTTCTGAGCAGTGTCAACTTCTTAAGCAATTTTCCTTAGTCACCAGGGGATGAATCACCCAAAACTTTGCAAATGAACTCTGCAATTTTCTGTCTGCTCAAGGGTGCAGTTAAAACTGGTAAATCAGGGCAAAGCATTGTGTCAGGAACAACTTGGTTAGGATAAATGCCTCTCTACATCTCTTAAATTCAAACAAATCATAAAACTCAGATTAAAATTTGCTTACTTCTGAAAATAACAACCTGTTGAGGAAGCAGATGTTAAACTTGTTTGCCATCGTCTCTGTAAAAGAAAACAACTGCAGTGGAACTAATTAAAATATGTGTACTCAGCATTATTTTATTAGTAAGTTGTAATTACAGTATATTGGTCTGAATAGTATTTTTTCATAGGGAATTGTATTTGTGTACGTTTATCAGTCTAACACTCTAAAAACAAGATCTACCTTTCTTACCTAGGAGCAATAGAAAAGCTATATAATGTCTTAAAACTCACTTTCCAAAAAGAAAGGCATGTTCTTAAAACCATCAAATGAAAAAGAAATTTCCGACGTTACCATGCAAATGTATCTGAACGAATTTTGAATAATTACTTGATTTTTACAAGTGGTCATTCTAAATCAGAGCAGTTAAAACTGACCTTAGAGGAATACTCAAGTCAGCGTATCTTTTCAGAGAAAGGAAAACTTCATCTCTGAAAGTGTCCAGCTAAAAAGAAAAGTTCCTTTCAGATTGCCTTGGGAGAAAAACGATAGACAACTCCTCATATGCGAATTCCCATTTTTAAAACCAGTAAGACAGAAGAACCTATTCGCGCAGCAAACAGTGCGGACCGCAGCATGGGTGAGCCCTGAAGGCTCCCGCACATCTGAGCTCGCGTGCGCAGGGTAAAGCAGACCTTTCCACCCCGAGAAGCCCTGGGCGGAGCGGGGAACGCCGTGGAGCGCGGGGCTGGGGCAGGGCCGTCCCTCCAGCTCCGCCCGGGTGGCGCTCGGGGGCCACTGGCTAGGGGCGGAGCAAGAAGAGCCGGGCAGCACCCGCGGCCCACCACCGGGGCGGGGCGGCGCGGTCGCGGGTGGATGACGCGCGGGGCCGGCGGAGTCGCCGCCACTTCCTGGAGCCGCCGGCCGGGGCCGCTAGCTGCACTCAGCGCCGGAGCCGGAGCCCGCGGCCGCCGCCATGTCCCACCAGACCGGCATCCAAGGTAACGGCGCCCGGTGCGGTCCGGGCAAGGCTCCCAGAGAAACGCCGCGGGCCCCCGGGGAGTCGCCTTGCGGGCGCCGGGCTTTCACCTCTCGGGGCTCCGGGTGCCGGCGTCCGGCCTGGTCCCTTGCCGGCCTGGTCCCTTGCCGCCCTGGCCGGCGCCGCCGCCACGTAAGGCTCGGAGCGCAGCTCGTGGGAGCGGCGGAGGAAACCCTGTGCGGAGCCCGGGGAAGGGGGCGTGCCCTGCCCGGTCACTGCGCCCCGACCTCGCGTCCTCCACCGGTGGCGAGCGCGGGGAGCGTGCGGGCCACCGGGGTATCCTGGCGCGGGCCAGCCGGGCGAGTTGCCCCTGCGCCTGGTCTGGTGCGAAGGAGTGTGGCAGGACATTGACTATAAAAAGAAATACGCCAGCCGAGTGTAGCGGCACACGCCGGTACCCCAGCACTCGAGAGGCTGAGACGAGAGGCTCGCGTGAGTTCGAGGCCAGCGCGAACTGAATAGCGAGACCTTGTCTGAAACAAACAAACAAAAAAGCAAGCAAACAAACAAGGAAAAATATGACAGTCTTATCTCGGAAGGGGTGCTTCCCAAACTGCCCGCTTTTCTTCAGATGGGAGGATGCCGTGTGTTCTGAGAAATCCTGAGTGTGAGCTGTGCCTAGGTCTTTTTCCTCTGTTCTCTGCAGAGCAGTTGAAAAGTCCAACCTGTGGGGTTGCGTTTTAGTCACCCGAGCAAGCCGCTGAATATGCATTTACTATATATCCAACTTCCATTATTTCCGGGTTTGAAAATGGGCAGCCTAGAAGCGCTAGCCTCGTATGAATCAGATAGTATACCCTGGGGTTACTTACGATCTCTTAACGAGTTCTAATATAAATGAACTCAAGCTCTCCCTGTTAATAAGACGGAGAATATGAACGCTTGTCTGGTTTGTTTGTAAAGGTTTTTAACACCGCCCCACACACCCCTGCAGGCACACATCAGCAAAAATACTCTTGCGTTCTAAAAGAACTGTTGTATTTGCCTGCATTGATTTTACATTTAAATACGTTATTACTCACTTTCTTGTTAGAGCCTTGTAATTACACGCTATCTAAATAGTGATTGTTGCTTATAATAGCTGCACAAGAACGAAGTTGAAATTTTATTAGGTAAACAAAATTAGATTATTAAATGTGTTTTTCTCAGTTTACCGTAGTCTTTTGAGAAATACAAATTAAAAAAATATGAAGAGTATAAAATCTAATACATGTTATTGGCTTTTTCTTGAATCTGGATAGGGTATCATACTGTACTTAGTGGCAGATACAGAAAATGAATTGATGAAGGTATCTTTATCTCACACTTGAAATTGAACTGGAAGAGCATGAAAGCAAGTTTTCAACATTTTTCAAAGGAAAGTGTTTAAAAATTGTAATTTGCCCATTAATTAGTAAGTTCATTGAGTAATGTCAGTATATTCATGCCATTGTTATTTCTGCTACATATTATTTAGCTAAACCAAATTGGAACTAATGTACTTTATTAATATGTGTTTTTTCATACCTATATTCAATGTCTACTCTTTTATGCTTGTTTTATAATACTAATAAGAGAATGCTACACACTGTAGATGTTTTCTTTGTATTATTTATTTTTCCTTCATGTAGGTACCAAAATGAACTAGTCATAAGTATAAAAATATTTTATACTTTTTTTTAAAGAAAATATTGTTTTCCACAGCAAGTGAAGATGTTAAAGATATCTTTGCCAGAGCCAGAAATGGAAAATACAGACTTCTGAAAATATCTATTGAAAATGGTTAGTTAAACATTTTAAAATATTATATGCTACTGGATTATCGGGTGTTAATTATATTCTTAAATTTCTTAAGTTTACTCAGTAACTTAAACTATCAGTTAATGTGAAGCAGGTTCAAACCTTGCCATAAGAAACTTAGAATACTCACATTTTGTCCAAAGCCCCTGGTTGTGTTGTTTTGTTTTTTTCTGAATTCTGTAGTACTCAGAGAACCATAAAGATGTTTTTCTGGTGTAACATCTTTCTCTTAACTGTTTGTGTCTCAGTGTGTGCACTATAGTCCATTTCTGCATACCTACAAGTGTATGTACCTTGTGAATAACTGTACAGTGAAGCTTGTTTTTAAATACAGAGGACTTCAGACTTTCCTAGTTTTCCGCCTGACTGCAACCTGTGCCAAATGTCACTTTTGTTTGTTTGTTTGTTTTGGGAAAGCTCTGAGAATGTAGCAAACTCTTAAGTTCTCTAAGCAGAGAACTGAGTAAGAGAACCTTCATAATCAGGTAATTGGAATTTGAAAAATTATTGTTATAAAATTATTATAAATAATGTTTTAAAGTATTCCTGCAGGGTAATTCCTTAAATAATTTGAAAATATTTTACTTCAGAAAAATTTACTTATCCTTTCTTGGAAGTAGATTATTTTGTTTTCCATTTTCTGCTTATATATGAAAGAGGCAGAGCAGTTTATTACAATCTATAATTGTTTTGTAGACAATAAGTGTATACTGTAAATATAGCATATTTTAGAAATATTTAGCTGAAAGTTTTCAATGCCATTACTTTTCTAAGGGACCAGTTAAATAACTAAAATGGAGAAGCTCATCTTATTAACACCGCCTCAGAAGGAAAATAGGTTTTATTTCCTATGATATCACTTTCTAGTTTTTGTCTTGAGAAAAATTTTAATAAGGAAACTTCAAAGAATATAGTAATACAAATACTTGTGTCTCCCCTTAATATCTGTTAATATTTTATATTTTTCAATCGTTTTTAAATTTCATTTTTTTCTAATATTAGTGTTTCTTTTAAACAGTTCTTGATTTCCTTCCTGCTAGGCAACTCTAGTCAGGGACTTTTGTATTTCTACCATCCTTTTCGCATGTATGCCTGAATAGATGCAGTGCTGGCTTGAGTTTTTAAGTTCATATAAAATGGGGATCATCTTGTTCTGCATGGGTTTTTTTGCTATAAATTTTTACTATCAATTTTTTAATTGATAGTAAATTGATTTTGATGGAGAACTTTGGTTTTCTTTTAAAATATGAATAGAATATTTTCATATAACTACTATTATTGGTAAACATTGAGACTGTTTACAGTTTTCATTACTAAAGTGCTGTAGTAAACACTATGTACATGTATGTAAAAGATTGTGTGAATATATTTATAATTTTACTTAATTCTGCAAAATAGCTCTGAGTAGCTAGCTATACCAATCATGTTTCTAGGCAAACTTTTGAATCTGGGGCATTATGACCAAATAGGAGGTAAATCTGGTTTTATTTGTTACTGAACAACACAGTATTAATTTCAGAAATTATACTTTTGAGTGTTAGTACAGTTATTTAAATGCATTTTGCTGGTAATTTATAAGATAGATATTTTGAAAACAACAAATATAATTACCCATTGGTCATTCATCTCAACTGTTAGTCATTTTTATATATTTTATTTTTCTAGTCTTCATCACACTACCACTTGGTATTTCAGATCATTTACGTGTTTTTTTAAAAAATTCTTTTCATAGAGCAGCTTGTGATTGGATCATGTAGTCAGCCTTCAGATTCCTGGGATAAGGATTATGATTCCTTCATTTTGCCCCTGTTGGAGGACAAGCAGCCATGCTATATATTATTCAGGTTAGATTCCCAGAATGCCCAGGGATATGAGTGGATATTCATTGCATGGTCTCCAGATCATTCTCATGTAAGTAATTTTTTTGTTGTTCAGTCAACATGAAATGCTACAAATGAGTTTTTCCTGATACACTTTTAGGCCAAGTGCAGGTTAAGCAATACTCACTTGTCTCAGCCTCGTGGGTGCTGAGATTGTAGGCATGCTCCACAATGCAATGCCTGGCTTAAAAATAATTTTTTTAAGTAGTATTTTGTTCTTGGAATTCATCTTACCCCTTGAAAATGAGGAATTTTTAAAATTTATGTGTTTTTCTAAAAATGTAATGTACTATAGTTCAAAATCTTAATAGCTGTTGATAATATTTTCAACGGTAATGTTATGATGGTTATTTGTACCCAAAAATTTTAGCATATTGTGCAAGCTACAGCTCTGTCACAGTTTATGTTTAATGTGCATGGGTTCTTAAAACAGTCAGAATATGCTTCTGTAATAATATGTGTTCATCTGCAAAGTTCTAAGTGAGCTTTCTTAACTATATAGGTTCGTCAAAAAATGTTGTATGCAGCAACAAGAGCAACTCTGAAAAAGGAATTTGGTGGTGGCCACATTAAAGATGAAGTGTTTGGTACAGTAAAGGTATAAACCCCTTTGTGATGGGGGAGTGGGACTCACTGTGTTGCCCTGACTGACCTCAGACTCCTCAAATACTTCTCTCTTCCGCCTTAGCTCCTTTAGTAGCCAGGACTATGGTGTGTGCCCCAACTCCCAGCAAAACCTTATATTTTTATGTGGATTCTGTGTGTTGCAGATAAAATAATAACTGTTAGGTTATGGATAATTGATACAAATTCTGATAGCTCTATAAATATGTGAAAAAGAAAAGAATTATGTAAATTAATTACAGTGAATAAGTAACTTTAAACTTATTCATTTGTGTATAATTAACCTTGAGAATAATATTAAAACATACTTATCCTTTTAAAATATTTACATTGTAAATACATATATTTACACATATATGCACAAGAAAAATAGCTTTGGACAGGTCTTGTTTACTTATTCAGAGAGATTCTGACTCAAAAAGTAATGTAATCTGGCATCCAGAGCACAAGAATGGATGGGAATTTGTTGCTTGTTCACCATTAACTGAGATGGCTGGTTTCTCAATTCTCTGGGTCTCAGTCTTACAACCAACAATATTTTGATAAGTAGACCTCTCTGGCATACTTCTTTTCATATCAAATCCACAAAAATTTTCCATGAATAGTTGTAGGGAAACTATAAACTATTTGATACTGAATTCAGAATCTAAATTTGGTGATTACTGGATTACTGCAGGACAGCTTTCCCCAAAAGTTTACAGTTGACCTTTGTGCTTGAAGTACGACCAGCTTCATTATTTAGCTGGCGTCGTCTCATTCATGGCACCAAACTCATACAAGATACTAATTATCATAACAGTTCAAGAAATGGAAAAGAGACATACCCCTTAAAGAGTCCTGAAATCTTTACATAGCAGATTAAAGAAACAGAAGAGAAAGAAAAATTTCTAATACTATTTACTTTCATTTAAAATCTTTTTTGTGAAATTAACAATCCTGCTTTTCCTGGAGTGGCTTCACTCTGGTTTTATTTCTAGAGAATAATCATAGTCCATTGCTGTGCTTACAGGAAGATGTATCCTTGCATGGGTATAAGAAGTATTTGTTGTCACAGTCTTCCCCCGCCCCACTGACTGCAGCAGAGGAAGAATTACGACAGATTAAAATTAATGAGGTAAGTTACAACCTTGAAATCCGGGCTAGAATTTTAAGTTTTCAAAATGCTTTCTTTCTAGTCAATAGATATTTGGGTAACTACAGAATAAAGATACTCAGGCATTTAGGTTTATGTATGCTCTATAGAGACAAGGTTTTGTGCTTAGTGATTTCAAGAAAAAAATGTCACATGAACTTTGCTTTCTCATGCAGTATATGTGTCAGACTAGTAAATCTTCATGTGAGAAGTACAACTGTTATAAAACTCTGTACTTTGTAAGCCAGGTGTGGTGGTATACACCTGTAATCCTAGCACTCAAGAAGCTGGAGCAGGAGGATCATTGCAAACATTTTATGTGTAGTAAAGTTACATAAAGCAGGAATTTTTGATTTTTGATTTTCTTTCAGAGACTAGTAACGACTACAAAGAATAAATAAATGCTGTAAAATGTTTAAGATTTCTAGACACTTTACAAGTTAACTTCTATCAACTGGAATGGAGATAGTATAGATTACTGTTTGAATATGTGTTGAACATGTTAAGTCATTAAATTTCAGTTATTATAGTTTATCATATTTTAATGTGTTTTTGCAGTCATTCTAATTGATTGTTGGAGTAACTACTGTATTTCTACTGAAATTTTATGGAAAATAAACCAAAACTGAATTATTAAGTTTAATAAGCTTTATTAAAGTATTAAGAAGTAGCCAAAAAATTATTCAAAACCTAACAAACTAATAGAGATCAATCTGGAAAATGGTTAAATAATGCTTAATACTAAATTGGTATACAGCATCTATTATTACATCATTTTAACCCAAGTTACTGGAGGAGAGTTTCTTACATGATTTTTTTTTTTGAAAGTTTGATAGTTTGTTTTATTCCTTGCAATCAGAGCCCAGAGGACCATTTTGGGGTATGCATTTGCATATGTTTTATGATGTTTTCATTATCTAGTATCATGCTGTGGAATCTCCATTCATATTTTTTAAAAATAAAATTTTTATTTGACTTTCTGTTGCTGCACTGCAAACAAGACCCTATACTAGCTGTCATTTATTGAGTATAAAAGCCTTAAACATGAGAAGCTTTCTTGGTGTCATTCTGTTTCAATCCATGCACACTCATATTTGTAGTAAAGAAAGCTCTAAATCTGGAACTACTGTAGTAGTGTAACTCCTTGAGCTGTGTTATGTGTTCATATACTGTTTGTATCTCTTTCAGTTGAGTGCATGGTGTTTGTGTTGCATTTTATGTCTAGCAGAACAAAATTTTTATACATATTGTATGTGTTTTACTATTCATAAACTATCAAGTACAAATTTGTACCTAAAGAGATAATCTTCAAAGAGTTTAACTTATTGAAATAGTGCCAACCTAAGCATAGAAACAAACAAAACCCCCGAAGTCCCACTCAGACTGCACATTCACTCATTCACTTTGAACATCTCATGTAGAAGTATCATGCATTCTGCATGTCAACAAAGTGAACACATGTAACATGTAACATAATTTGCTTTTTAAGGTCACAGTGTTTCCCTAAGTATTAATTTTCAATTATAGATTGGGAAATGTTGAATGATGCTATTTTATAGAAATTGGGTTTTCTTATTTTTCTCTAGGACTGTTGTAATCACTAAGTTTTACCAGTACACTGTGTCTATCACTTAGGTACAAACTGACGTTGGCGTGGACACTAAGCATCAGACACTACAAGGAGTAGCATTTCCTATTTCTCGAGAAGCTTTTCAAGCTTTGGAAAAACTGAATAACAGACAGCTGAACTATGTGCAATTGGTGAGATATGTGTAATGTTTATAACTAAATGGCTGCTCATTTTGGTAGTTTACAGCTTGAATAAGATTTATTTTTAATAGACTAAAATTTTCAATTTGTTTCGTATTTTTCATTTTTTTAAATTGTAAGTTATACATGTTGATTATGAAAATATCAAATGACACAACTGCATAGTTTGCTCATCTCTTGGTTTTTTAAATACATTTTAACTTAATTTGTCTGCTTCAACATGTATATTTTGTGCCTTGTTGATAGGAAATAGATATAAAAAATGAAATTATAATTTTGGCCAGTACAACAAATACAGAACTGAAAGATCTGCCAAAGAGGATTCCCAAAGATTCAGCACGTTATCATTTCTTTGTGTATAAACATTCTCATGAAGGAGACTACTTAGAATCCATAGGTATGTGACACACTATTTTTGGCATGTTACTTTCAGTTTGCATGTTGATGTTTTGGCACTATATTCTCATTTATTCCTTACCCAGAGAGTTTAGTTTGCAGGTGGCACGTGTGCCGCAAGAGGCTGTTTGTATCATTGACAGCTCTACGAAGTTCAGTATCACTGGTGGTGTTGTAGTTGTATTTTATGTATTTGCTCTAAGTGCTGTGGTGCTAACTGTATTTGTTATTGTTTTTACTTAACAGTTTTTATTTATTCAATGCCTGGATACACATGCAGTATAAGAGAACGGATGCTGTATTCTAGCTGCAAGAGTCCTCTGCTAGAAATTGTAGAAAGACAACTACAAATGGATGTAATCAGAAAGGTACACTTACCTCACTGTAAACCCTCAGTTTTTTCTGGTTATTTCTATGTAGCATGTGACATACTGTGATTTATAAAAGAAAAAAGTTCTGATTATTAAATTCTTAGGATCTCTAAGTGTCTGAGGATGACCTGTCATGATCCTCAGCTCTGTAGACATAGGGTAGCCACAAGGTACATGTGGCCTTCTTCCTGCCTCAACTCTCTTAAGTTCCAGAATTACAGGTGTGCGCCACCATGCCCACCTTTTAAAACTTCTCTTGGATAATGCTACTAGAGCTACATACTTCAAATCGTTTCTGGACTTATATTAATAAGAAGCTGTAATCTATTTATAACTGTGAGTCCTAGGATGGTTAGGAGTCTTTCTGGTTGTTGGGGAAGAAACAATAGATAGAAACTTTGGAATTTTGAGAACTAAGGTATCGTTTTTCTTAAGTTTATTTTCTTAAATACAAAAAAGACATATGGAAGATACAGTTTATTTTTTAATGATTTGACTCTTAAAATGCAGATCTTTATCATTTACTGGTGGTTTAGGTGCTGAATTATTTGAACTTTTTAAAATCGTAAAATTTAAAAAAAAAAAGATTGTAAAAATTACTGTAGCATGGATAGTACCTTTTTTTTGAGACAAGGTCTTGCTGTGTAGTCGAGGCTGGCTTTGAATGCACTGTGTAGCCCAGGCAAGCTTCAAAGACAATCCTGTCTTAGCCTCCTGCATGCTAGAAATAACAGATGTTGGCTGAATCTTTCTATAAAGGACTAGCTGTTAAATACGTTATGCTTTCTCAGGCCACATAAGGTCTCTATCCCATGTTGGTTTTGGTTTTTACAACCCTTTAAATGTGTAAAACAGACTTGACATGATCTAGACCATTATTTACCTACATTTATTCAATAGTGATTCCACCCAAGAGTTGAAGGAGTCATGAATAGTGTTTGCTGAATATATAGTAAACCAAAACAGAACCCACTGAGAATATAACACTGCTTCTACTTTCACACATTGAATAGAGCAGGAACAGCTAACAAGTGGCAAGTGTTTGTAGCTGATTCCATGTTAGAACCCTCTTCCCCTCAAAAAAAGATGACAGTGAAACAGTGGTCCTTAATTGTGTCTTACCGAAACGGGTATGCCTTTGTGAATATTTATACTTTAAAACTGGCTCATTGCTTATGTTTGGTTTTGAATGTTGCTTGAATGTGTCACACTCTTGATTCTCTGTTCTATAGATTGAGATAGACAATGGGGATGAACTGACTGCCGACTTCCTCTATGAGGAAGTACATCCCAAGCAGCATGCACACAAGCAAAGTTTTGCAAAACCAAAAGGCCCTGCAGGAAAAAGAGGAATCCGAAGACTTATTAGAGGTCCAGCTGAAACAGAAGCAACTACTGATTAAAATTGTTATGTTAAAGATTGCAATACTAGTTTTTAAAAATTCAGCTTTTAGTACAGGAGAACTGAAATCATTCCATGTTACATAGTAGAGGGAAAAATTGTACTTTTTGAAGAATAGCACTTTTCACTTCTATGTGTTTTTTAAATGAATGTTATAGAAGACTCATGATTTCTGTTTTTGAGTTAAAGGTAGAGTTTCAACATAGTAGTATTTAATTTTGTCACAGTTTTCATATTGTTGACTCCACACTTTTCACATGATTCTTAAAATTTTGTATAGTTGGGCCAGTTTGAGAAAATCTAATGTCTTAAAGTAGAGTATATGTCTTACTACTCTTTAGTGAGACATCTTTTTTCTTAAGAAGCAGGAAGACCTTAAAATAGTTATACTCCTTGCTGCATACGTTAAGAACCAGGTTAGGTTATTTTGTAAGCTGAAAATTTAGTGTGCCTCAGTTGCTTTCTCTAAGGAGCAATCTGACTCTGTCAGATTGGGATCAAGTCTGTGACTTTCACAACTAATGCTTTATTGCAGCAGTTTTTTAGATTTGACTTTTTGGAGTTTTTTTTAATGGCATTAAGATTCATGATGATCAGCTTAGTCTGAAATTAGGGTACTAGATATTTTCTATACTGTAGGATTTCTGTTGCCATCGACTTTAATTCTTCAGTACTAAAAAAAAATATTTCTTTCCAAAGTTAGTCATTTCATTTTAAATACTGTGAGGCCAAATGTTTATATTCAGATTAAAATTTAAATTAGTATTATTCAAAAGGAACCAAAGCTAAAGTGAAAAATGTTAAAAAAGTTTTAGAATTTTTTTTTCTCCAAAAACCATGTATGTATAGGCAAATTGTTACCACTTTTTAGCAAATAATCAAATTGAAAATTGTTTTAAAGTCCTAGTTCTAAACAGTCTAACACAGATAAACACTTAGCCTATGAATTTTGTTTCAATTAATATTTTAAAACATACTTAGCTTTTCTCTAAAGCTTTGCATCTTCATTTACAACCTAAAGAGATTTGAGCCTCATATTTCTTTGATACTTGAAATAGAGGGAGCTAGAACACTTCATATTTAATCTGTTAAACCTGCTGTGGAGCCATAACTTGGAGCAATTTTCTAACTGTAGGTACCCAGGATTTGGAATTTCTTGACCTAAACTTCATGCTGCATAAAACAAATACTAGAAGTACACATTTCATACTATAAACATGAAGATTCATTGCATAACCTTAATGTCTAAGGTAATACATGCACCTTTGAGAAATTCCATGTGTGTTGAAATAAAGAATATAATTATGGTTTGACAAGTTTTTAAAAATAGAATTAAGAGTATTTGTGTGAGGTTTTTGTTTGTTTGTTTACAAATAGACTATTTAAACTTGCAGAATAGTCAACAGTAACGCTATACTTGTTTACTAAAGATACACTCTTAAGTTTTTCCTTCGGTGCACAAATAGACACATATACACACAAATTACTGATTTAAGAATCCTGGCGCTATGTTGTAGACCATAGCTGAAGCTGTAATTTTCAGTCAGGATGATTACCTATTATGGTAATACGAAGTAACTTACTAGTGAATGTTTTTCCTGTATAATTCATGTGCAATTATACTCAAAATTCCACTACACTACATGAAAGTAAATGGACATTCCAAATATAGATGTGATTATATAATCTTAAACTAATTAATATTAAACCAATGATTGCTGAGAATCAGTGATGCATTTGTTTTAGAATATAACTCATTGTTTATATTATGTTTTAGGTGGCACTAGATGATGTGGTGAATAATGTATTCCCAATAAATTTATATAGCAATCAGAAATTACATGCCTTCTGTGGATATTTTATAAGTGCATTTTATATTGCAATAAAAATTTTTTCTCTTTAAGTTGTGTATGTTCTGTGCTATTTTTCTAATATAACTTGTTTTAATTATTGGATAAGTTTGCATAATTCAGTACTTGGTGATAAGCTAGAAATTGTGTTCATGTGGTCATTTATTATTTAGCCTGCCTGAGTCTAAAAATAGTTGCAGTTATAGAATAGTTAGATTATAACTTCCTCACTATTATAGCAATAATGAAAATGCTACCATAGTTTCTTAGTACCTGTTGAAGCACCTTAGTACCACTGGGTAATCAACTTTCTTGACACTGAATTCTTTTTTTGTTAGTGTGTATTTGTGACACATAATGATTAAATCCATCCTGGGAACTGATAAATATACATGCCACATTTTGATCATTTTTACTCCCTCTTTATCTGCCCATCTTCCTCATTTCTCAGATTCCTTTCCCATCCCGATCATCTTCCTATTTTCTGCCATCTCATACTTTGCTCTTTTTTTTTTTTTAATTTTATTTAAGGAGAAAAAAGAAAAAAAAAACCAAAAAGGGTACAAGTTATACAGAATTTCAGAAAAAAACAGTTGGAAATCACTAATTACATATTGTCATCTTAGAAATAGTTGTTGAAGTTACAAAATTAAAGCATATAGAGGGGACTTTCAAACAGACTGCAAACAGTTTTGTTCAATGATCCAACAAAACTCAGTAGTATGGTTATCTATCTTATACACTTAAATATATATGTAGTTATATCTTTTAGAAAACTTTCTTTTCCTTTCTTTTGTACAATGACAATTACACATTTTGGGTGTTATTATTCCCACAGTTCTTATTACTTTTTTTTTTTTTTTTTTAAGAAAGTAAAACCAAATGTGACATACCAGGACAGAGTCAGTCAAATCAAAAGGATGGACATAATACATAATGTAAAAACAAAATACAAGGTGATCAACAATGGTTACCATAATGTTATCTTAAAAAGAATTGCCTATATCATCAGTTATAATAAAATTGAACAAAACAGTAAAGAATAAGACCAATAAAACCAAAACATTGGAGACATTAGAGGACTTCAAAAGAAGATAATAGTCAACCAGAATGGACGTCACAATGAATCTTACTGTCTTCATAGTTGTTGCCTATACTTTCAAACTTGGTACTATCAAGCATAACAGAATAGAGGAAAATCAGTCAAAACAAGATGGTGAGAGCAATACAGAGTTTCAAATCAAGTTAATAGGAAATCAAAGTGGGTTACTATAATATATCCTGCTATTTTTTATTTATTTTTCCCTTAAAAGGATAAAAATGAGAAAGTAGATAATAAAAAGGAGATTGAGATAAAAAAGAGGGCTTAACAACAAAACAGCACAGGTCAAAACATAGCCATTTAAGCAAAATAGTGTTTCACCACAAGATAATATCGACATAATAGTAGTTACCATAGTGACTCTTCCCTTAAAATCTTTGGGTATAACTTCGTATACTGTAGCATCAAACATATCAAGACAATGTAAAACCATTTAAGAGAATGACAGTATTACAGGGTATTTAGAATCAACTAACAGAAAAAGAACAATGGTTTCTGTATAATCTTGTCTATAAAAGTTTTTGTTTATATTATCACATATAATAAAATCCAATAAGATAAAAACACGTTAAAACTGATGGAGACAGGAGAACAAAAGTCCCACATTTTGATGGGACTTCAAAACAAGAGGATATTAAATCAGCACTACCTATTATGATGTCTTGTTTTCTCCAAAATGGCTGTTCCTACCATCCAACCTTCTCTGCCTCATTTCTGTTGAGCTCTTTCTCTGTCGTTAGTTGTCAGTTTGTCCTCTTCATTTCGCTTTCTGCTCCATTCATTGTGGCCACTCTGCCACTGTTTCTGGAATCTTGGTATTTTTCATTTTTAGAATATCCTGCAGTAATCTCTGTAGAGTTGAATTGGTGGTTGCAAATTCCCTTAGTTTGTCTTTATCCTGGAAGCACCTTGTTTTTCCATCAATTTCTAGGGACAGTTGTGCAGGATATATCAATCTTGGCTAGAGGTTATTATCTTTCAAAGCTTGAATTATTTTCCCCCACACTCTTCATGATATGATGGTTTGTGCCGAGAAGTCTGCTGTAATTTTGATGGGTGTTCCTTTCTTTGTAAGTGATCTGTTTCTTGTCTTTGATGGCTTTTAATATTCTGTTCTTATATTGGATTTGTGGAATTTTGATTATTATATGCCTGGGTGTAGCTCTGTTTGGGTTGTAGGTGGCTGGAGTCCTGCATGCCTCATACATCTGAGTATCTTTACCTTTTGCTAAATTAGGGAAATTCTCCTGGATTACTTCTGTGAATAGCTTTTGTAGTTCATTTGTTTGAGTCCCTACTTTTTTTATGTTCTTAATTCTTAAGTTATAGATCCTCTTATCATCTAGTCTTTGTATTATTGCCGTTTGTTTTCTTGTTATTTTTAAGTTTTTCATTTCATGCTCCCACCTTACAAATCTGTCCTCCAGTTCTGATAATCTATCCTTAGTTTCTTTCAAGCTGTCATGCCAGGTTTCAATAGAGTTTTTAGTTTCCTGGTAATCTCTTTGAACCTGCTTCCATATTCTATGTTTTTTCTATTTTCTCCATTAAACAATTCTCCCCTTTTTTTCTGTTCTTCCATTCCACCATCTGTTTTTTCTTGGGCAGTGCTTAGCATTTCTCTAACTATTCTACTTATTTCTTGCTTTATTTCATTAAATACTTCATTTTTGAACTCGTCTATGAGGCTCCGGAGACACCACTTTAGGTCTATAGGTGCCGTGTCTGATATTGCATGTTTTCTGTCTTCATTCTCTTTTGCATTTACCTTTCCTGGATCAGTGTTCTCAGGATTGGGGACTTAGGACCCTTTCTTGTTGCTCCCTTTTCCCATACTTTTTGTTCCTTCCATACAAGCATATGTAGGAGGCCCAGTTTTTTTGTTTGTTTGTTTGTTTGTTTGTTTGTTTTTGTTTTTTCTCTTTGTCTGTTACAGTTCGTTTGAATCCACCGGCTAGGTGTTTCCACCCACTGCAGTGTACTAGGGAGAAACAGACCTGGGCAGCCTCTGCTGGACCCGCCCCTCCAGGTCAACCTACTGAATGCTTCACTGCACCTGGGTGCACTGCTAGGCGCAGGGACCTGATTTGGGCTAGCCTACTGGATCTTAGTCCACAGAGTCACCAGGCCAAGCACCCCCCACCACTCCTGCTTGAGAGGGGAATATGCGACTAAAGTCACTGCAGGGCCCTGTTCCGGCTAGTCGGCTCATTCCCAGAATGTCCTCTGTTGGAGCCTCCTAGTCTATGAAAGGGTCCCCATTTTTCTCACTCACCGGAGGTCAATGCAGGGCTCCCTGCCAGTCCCGCTCTCAATGCCGTTTGGTTCGCCGATTCCAGCTCTTAGAGCTTTTGTGCGTCTCTCCCCTGCCATGTGGATTGGGATTCAGCATCGGCAGCAGGAAATTCAGATCGCAGCTTCCAGTGGCGCCGGGATCCAGCTTCCACAGATTATATCTGTTCCTGTTATAGCATCAGGATTGTATTTCCAGTTGGTTTTTCTCAGCTTAGTTCATTCCTGGGTAGGCAGGGTACATCTCCCCTCACGTAGGACTCTTCACATGGCACCGCTCCTGGATTCTAAACTGGTAATCTCAGAGAGCCTCCGTGGCTGCTGTTATTTGTCCGCCATGTTCTCCTATACTTTGCTCTTTGAAGTTTATAATTCTGACACTGAATTCCTACAAAGATTTCTTGTTCATCAAAAAATGCAATCCTATGTATGCAATTCATTATTAAATAGATTGTTTTTATTGGTAAAGTAACAAAATATATGTTTTATGAAAGTCAAAGAAAATTCCTTACTTTTTTTTTTTGGTCTTTTTCCTTTTTATCGGCACCAGGGATCGAACTCACGACTGTCTGCTTGCAAGGCAGGCACTTATGCTGCTGAGCTAAATCCCCAGCCCCGAAAATTCCTTACTGAGCTGACTAAAAATAATTGTAAGTTCACTATGGCATTTCTACTTAGAGAACTAAGATAATGTGCCTAAAGAGTATATGGTGAGCCGTTGTATATATCGTTTTCAATTTTCATTGCATATATAGCCATATTGTGTTTCCTAGCTTCCTGTTTACCAAATTGTATTGGTAACAACCTGGACCATACCTTTATATGTATGTGACCATTACTGAACTAGCTATATGACTGAATCAGTTACATATTGCAAACATACTAATGCATAACAAACTACCAAATGTGGTTTAGAACAAAGGAGATCATTTCTCTAAAGTCCACTGTTGGCTTGTGTCCATGGCAGTAGAAGGAGAGAACAGAGATGAAATTAGAGACAGAAGTAGTGTACAAGAGCTCTTGAGGCCTAGGCTTGGAATGGAAGCATAATCAAAACATGTTTCAAGGTCAGCCCAGATGTAAGGGTTGGGGAAATAGACTACTTTTTTATGGGAAGAATTACAAAGCCATGTTGCAAAGGGCATGACTATAGATGATGAACGATTCTAATCTAGCATAAGGGATATGGGAAAGAAGTTATTTAATCTTTTGGGGCCTAATTTCTTCAACAAGGAAAAGAATAGAACGTACTCTCCACATTACTTGTTTTATTTGCATTTTATATGTATGCATTTGAATCACTTAATGGCTGCTGGGAGTTTAGGTCAGCAGGTATGGAGTGCCTGCTTGGCAAGTGCGAGGTCTTGAATTGGATCCCCAGTACTGAAAAACAAACAAAAAACAACCACTTAATGGTTTAGCAGAATAGTTCTGAACATATGACAAAGTGATTGTAACCAATACAATGACATACACATGTAGTGGTGAAGGTTACATCCATACCTGATGCCCAAGAATCCTCACAGTGCTATTTACTGGCTGTGTAATTTTGGGCAAGTTATTTTGCTTCAGTTTCTTCATAAAACGTAGATAATAACTACTGAATTCATAAATCCAGGTAATTTGAACAGACTCATAATTGTTTAATAAGTGTAACTG